TCAACAGGACTCAAGGATAGTCGCTGGAAGTGCATAAATCTAGAAATGCCTTGTTCTTCGAACGGACAGCCATACGTGGCGTGTTCAAGAGTTGGAAGAACATCTTTTCTGTATACTTAGGCACCAGAACAAAAACCAAAAAAAATTTGTTTATCAAGCTGCGTTACATTGAAAAAAATTTGGAAGAATAGAAAATAAATGATTTTTAACACAACGTAAAGTCAACTTTCTTTTCATTTCAAAACACATAATTTCACGCAGGACAACGCCTGAGGGGTCAGCTAGTTACACTTATAATAAGCTATTCAATGCAGTGAAAATTTTCTTTACGAATAAAAGGAGAAACGCTTTTGTCGATAGAAGAATCTAAGGGATTGTATTTTAAGTTTAATTTTGAATATAATCATAGAAATAAATTTCATTGGAAAAAATAAGAAATTTAAGTCTGCTTTTTCAATGTCTGGTTACCTGCCTTTCTGTTAATAGAGTTGTCCGCTTAAGGGGTTACATGGGTTTCCTTGGGCAAAAAGCGGCCTTTTTTCAATAATTTCTTTAAAAAAAAAAGGAATATTTTAATGATTTTTATTTTTTTTATTTAAAAGACTCATATTGTATAAAAAGGTAAATCCGCGTTGTCAGCAGAACTTCTTTCACGATCATCTCAAATAAAAATAAAAAATCAGTGTTTTAGTAAAGACAACAAACTAGGTATTGGACGAAGGAAAACAAAAAAAAATTAAAATTGGATTTTTGGCAGACGTTTTTATAAAAAAATGCAAATTTCGATGAAAATTTCTCGACATTTTTTTTTTAATAGTTGTAATAATAAAAAATCCTTCGTTGACTTTGTAAATGATATCTCGAAGACCTGTGTAAAATTTCATCAAGATCGGTTAAGTAGGTCGCGAGAAATCTTGACAACCGACTTTGAAAACATAATTTTGAGAAAAACGCGTTTAAAGCCCTCACCCAATACCTGACCTCGAGCGTCCACCTTTTCAAGGTTGTTTCTCCGAAACTATTAGTCGGATCAACTTGAAAATTTGGGAAAATATTTTAGAGATGCTATAGAATTTAATAAGACAAAAAAATTTCGATTTTTTGAAACTGTGAAAGCCATGTAACCATGTAGTTTAGGACTCCATCGCGGACAAACAACGTGATACGTACTTTTTATATAAAAAGATATGTGGGATATATGTATGTATATAAAATTTTATTTACACATACATATGTATGTACATAGATATACTTGTATGTAGGTTTTTAAGTTAAAAGATTTTAAGATTTTTTGTCTGTTTATGATTTGCCTTTCGCTTATTTTAAGCAATCCTGCTTATACTTAATTAAAGATAAAGGGTATCGCTGGAAAGTGGTGTAAGTAAATACTTGAACGTTTGTTTTGTTGTTGTGGAGATAATCTTTGGGTTTTAACACAACGGTAAGCAAATATGTTCAGTCAGTGCGTCATTATACGTATTAACCGAATACTAAAGCAGTTTTGCTACGTTTTTTTATTTTATTTGAACGAGTTTTTTATAAAAACGCAAATGTTAAGATATTAAACATATATTAAAGTAAACATAACATTAAAAGGAATCGATAGGACCCACTTTGAATTTCCCAGAGGTTTTTGGGAACAAAATGATTTTATGTGTGTGTGGATCTGTACGTGCGTGTGCTTTCGCCTGTGGCTTCTTCCTCCAGTCCTTTGCTGTGCTTATGCTGATTTGGTGTGCTGATGTTGTTTTTGCTATCTGATGTTTTTGGTGTCTGAATAGTTAATTCGCACCCGCTCTTTTTATAGTGTTGTAACCAGTTGCAAATATTATTGTACTATACAAAAACAAATTCGAGTTCATAGATGGGCGTAATCGGACCACTGTCATGCCCAAAAATCGCCATTAACCGAAAACACAAAAAATGCCATAACTAAGCACCTCTCGAACTCTCGACGAGTCACTCAAGGAGGACGATGAGTCGATGGTTAAGAATAGGAAACAAAAAGAAAGATATATTAGCAAAGAAAAGCCAAGTTTTGTGTTTAATATAAAAAGAAACGTTTGTTCTTTATTTTGGCTAATAAATGTGTGTATGTTATACAAAAAATTACCTTATAGTGATTCTGATGATGGCCGGCGGACGTCCTGATTCGCTCCCTGCTTCTATGAAAGTGCCAAAAAAGTGACTAGCAGAATCGCTACTGAGTAAAGTTAACGAAACTATTACCAGTTGAGTGAAAACTATGAGCGGTTTGTGGCAACAGTTAACTGGCAATAGTTTGCTAAATGCTCACTAGGGTTGGTAAAAAGAAATTAGGCACTGGCCTAAACATACCGGCTCCCTTGCGGTGAGCAACAAAAATATTACAAAAATCCATATC